TCAGAATGAACATATCTTACGAAGAGTTGCGGACTGCAAATTGGAGGAGGACCAAAAGTTCATTTTTATCTCAAATATTTAGGAAAATCTTGTTCATTAGAGGTTTTTATCGATGCACATTACATTTGGCGTGCAGAAGACGACAGGGGGATACCGAGCAGACTTTTGTACAGTAAAACAACTGCTACCGAATCCCTCGAGGGAGCAAAGGAGGAGAGGGAGAGGCGGGGAGAGGGAGAGGGGGAGGATCAGAAGGCCAATTTCGTTATCTAATTTAGCACAGTTCAGTCTGGAAACGATGCCGTATGTTATTCTGCTCAATTTAGCACAGTTCTTCTTGCTCGCGCCGGTTGTAAAGAGGCACGAAAGAAACCACTGATAGTTGAGTGATGCGGGAAATAAAGTATATTTAACAGTTCCGCTAGAAAAGGAGAGAAAACAAAAAACGGGCGCAAACATCATCAGATATGCTGATATTGCATACTGCGCTACATTGAGACTGCAGCTAATCAAAAAATCAAAATCGGCTAAATTCATGCCAAACTTGATTTATAAATTTTTTTGTTTTGAATTTTTCAGAGCTGAGAAGCGAAAAAAACAAAGGATGTTGGCGCTAAAAAATCCGGAAAATGCAGAAGCCTTTATTGAAGTAAGTAAAGTTGAGAACTAAATTGTAATTTTAATATCGTAATTTTTCTAAGTAAGTAAATTGGAAACTAAATCGCAAGTGTGATTGAAAGTTATATCCTAAATCGTAATTTCAAGTTCTGTCTGAAAATAAAAAAAATCGTAATTTTAGGGCAAACGTAGAATCCTGCGTATTTTGTTGGATTTAAAAGCTTATGAGGCAGCTGTTGACTATCAAAAAATCCGGGACGAATATATGACACGTTATAAGACTAATTTGAATGCTGTGGTAAGTTTTTATCATTTTTTTTTGTGTTTTTTCCAGGAATTTGAAATATTTTGAAAAGGCTTTTTTGGCATAGTGTGTACACATTGTATCTTCTTACATTTTTTATGCGTTTTTTGCAGCAATGCAATGCGAAAAACGCATATTGACGAGAGGTTGTCT